GGAACAGTTGTGGTAGGACCCATGTGGAGGAATGTTTTATAATCTTTAATAGCTCCACATGTCCAACGCCAACTGCTGTAGTGAGCCCCGGCTAGGACATGCTGTCTTCAGAGCCTGCAATCATGGGAACTCAAGTTGTGTCTCCTTTAACACATGCGGTGTTTGAAATCCAATGTAAGTCTGTAAAAAGCTGCAAGCATGGAGTTTATGTCATCATCGACTGTAAAAGAAGGTTTACAAAAATGATACTTTTGAATTGCTCCCTTCCAAGTTTTTATCCAGTTACTTGATATTCGAGAATAGTTCTGTGTACATACTTACTATGTTTATTATTTCCTGGCCAATTAAAACCCAGCAGATTGGGTTGTTTCATAGAATAGATTGCTCCACCCCCTCTCTTCGCCAAAGGGATTGAGCCTATTTTTAATTGGTAACTGAGTGCTAAGCATATTTGTTATATAAGGTCCTACCCAAAGACTATAATTTTCATAGTTGAAAGAAAAAAATAACGAAAAGTGTGGAAGATACTTGCAGAGATTACTCTGACTTTGGTGATGTTTTCCGTGTCTGTCATAAAGCAATACTTTTCTGCCTATTTTCTGGCATCTATTGAATAGTGAGCTGTGGACTTCTGAAATTTGACTCCATCAGCATAAGCATGCCTCTGAATATTAGTTATTACAAAGTTTCCAGTGATATCTAATGATCATAATTATTGGCTGTATCATTATTATTGATTGTATCATTTCTTTAGTTTTTTTTTTTTCCAAGTACAAAGAACTAGCTTTTGGGGGACCATATCAGTATTTACTATATACTATAGTAGCACTTCCAGGCAAAAATTAGAAAAGCAACCTAGAGTGTTGCTAAAAAATCTTCAACATTTCTTATAAGGTAAAAATGTGTGTTGCTTTGGATCATGTGAACATTGGAAAATGTACACTTAATTGTTGAATGCGATGAGCTCTTATATAACCAAGGTGTATTTGAACAGAATACTGTAATTGCTGTGCTGGATCATTGTCATAGCCGGTGTTCTATTGCTGTGAAGAGACACTGTGACCACAGCAACTCTTAGAAATGAAAGCAGTTAATTGGGGCTTGCCTACAATTTCAGTCCATTTTATCTGCTTGTGTGCCACCATGGGGATGAAGGTATAGTTGAGAGCTGGACATCTGAATTCACAGGCAGCAGAGAGTGAGAGACGACACTTTTGAAACCTCCAAGTCCATACCTGGGGACACACTTCCTCCAATAAGGCCACACCTCCTAATCCCTCTTAAGTAATGCCAAGTCCCTAATGACCAAGTACTCGAATATATGGTGGCCATTCCTTCTTTTTTCCCTCCCTCTCCCTCTCTCTCCCTCTCCCTCTTTTGTTTTGGTTTTTCAAGACAGGCTTTTTCTGTGTGTAGCCCTGGCTGTCCTGGAACTCACTCTCTAGACCAGGCTGGCCTCAAACTCACAGAGATCCGCCTGCCTCTGCCTCCTGAGTGCTAGAATTAAAGGCATGCACCATCACTGCCCAGATTTGGGGTCCATTCTTATTCAGACCCCCGGTTATGAAGGCCTTCATTTGTTTGGTGCTGGTGAAAAGCACTGTGTAGGTAAGGTTCTTTGTTAACTGTCTCTTTTAAATCCTGCAACCCCCCCCCCCCACAGAGGCTGTCCTTTCATTTCCCATCACCCTCATGAGGACACCCAGGGATGTAGAAGTCAACTGTCTAAATGCTCGTGCAAATGAAACTTCTAACTACTACTGAACCCTAAATCCTTTCATTGGAAAGAGACTTAAAATTGTATCTTCTCGGGATATGCTAGCTAAAGCCCCTTTCTTTTAACTGAGGGCCTGACCATGGGGGCCGAGTCCCAGGGATGTGGGGACTCCTTAGTAAGACATGGCTCTTGTGCTCAAGGAGCCACTGGTGGGTAGAGCACAGTGATACCCACCTGTAATAATGGTGCAAGAGGGGAAGGTGGAGTTGAAAGTTGTGGGTCTGTGGATGATCACTCTGTGATTGCATGTTAGCAGTTATTTTCCTTTTGTAGAACCCTGCTAGGGTCAGGGACGGCTGACTCAGTGTTTAAAGCATGTGTATAATAAAGGATCATTTTCATGGCTCCAAAGGAGCTAAAAGGCTGGTAGTCTCTCTACTTTAGAGTTCTGGATGTTTGTTATGTGATGATGGAGCATTGATGAGCTTTGGCCGGTCAGTTCATGGAAATTGCTGGTTATGGCCAGCCTGTGTCTAATACAATTAATTTTAATATGTACTTTGGAGATTGGCCAGCTACACGGGCCAGAATTGTTATAAACTCATGTTGACTCATCAGCATGCATATATATTTCTACAAATTTGAATGTGTTCTGTTATTTCTCTCAAAACATTGGCATTCTCTTTTAATAATCTTACATGTAGTTTGCTCCAAACACGGAGCCCTAAAGCTTAGTGTAATAAATTATTATGCAAACAGATATATAAAGTGATCCCCCCTTTGGGATAGTCATTGTAATGTGATGGTTAGCTCTGTGATTATTTACCCTTCACTACTAGTCAAACAGAAATATTGTCTTTATGCAATCTGTAGCTAATCAAGATGTTAGAACAAGAGCTAATGTACTTCAAGAGTCTCAATTTTTTTTTTAACTTGGTCCAAGACATCACTATTAAAGCATAAAAATGGTAGACAGAGAAATTTGGAGATAATAAAGGCAGTATTAAAAACAAAAACTAAATTAAAATTAAATAAAAAAAATTGGAAGCAAAGAGGCTCCCAACGCTGACTTCTAAAAGGAAAACACCGAGTGCGTATTAGGCTGTCAGCTAAAATTGAAACCCTAGTCTTATGGACTTTTAATATTACTTGTGGATGACTCAGTGATACATTTACTCCATACACCCATGTCCTAATCCTAAAATTCATGGATGTTATCTTATAATTATCTTAGGCTATTTGTGTTGGTTCGAGGTGAGCATTAAGGTCCTGTGGAAATGTGTGCACATGAACGCAGTATGTGCAGGGGCCAGAAGAGGGCACCACATTCCCTGGAGCTGGAGTTTTAGGTGGTTGTGAACAACCTCAGATCCTGGGAGCTCTGCCTCTAGTCTTTGGGAGGAGCCATTTCTGTAGACCTCTTTCCCTCGTTTTTTTGATTGAGTGAGATTATAGGGCAGCTGTGGTAATCATTTGGATAGGATTTTAAGTCTTAAAGTATACATGTATGTGACAAGGGTTGTGTAAGGGAGTCCTGTGAGATTTCTAAAAAAAAAAAAAAAAAAAAAAAAAAAATGTAGGTTTCTGTCTAGGAAAAGAGTAAGGCCAGTTATGTGTAAGTCTCTTCCCCCCCCCCACCGTGTTGTAATTTATTTGTTGAAAATTTCATACAATATGTAGGTTATATTCTTCCCCTTCTCCAACGTCCTCCTCCACCTTCCTACCCACCCAACTTCATGTTCTTTCTTTCCCTTAACAAAACAAAACAACAGCAATGAAAACTAGTAAAGAACCTTGTGGAGTTTAGTTTGTGTTGGCCAGCTTCTCCTGAGCGTGAGGCCTGCCCTGGAACGAGGTTGATATACTCAATGCCATCCCATTAGAGAGACTGACATTTCCTCTGCAAGCAGCTATCAATTGCAAAAAGCTTTTTGGCTACAGTTGGGATTTTGTGTCCGCTTTCCCTCCTCTGAGCTGAGAATTTTCTTCTGGCTTGAGCACGGACTGTTCCTGGGTGTGCTGTGTGATCTCTGCGAGCCTCTGCATGCACCTGTCCAGTTGTGTATGGGAAATGCTATTCCCTTGAAGTCACCCACTATCCTTGGCTCTTGTCGTCTTTCTTCCCCTGAGCCTTGAGGAGAGGGGTGTGATGTAGATACCCCACTTAGAGCTGAGTACTCCAAAGTCTCTCACTTCCTATGTGCTGTTGAGTTGTGGGTCTCTGTATTAATCACCGCTGCAAGAAGTAGCTTCTTGGAGGAGGGTTGGTCTATTGGTCTTAAAGATGATTCTTTGCTATGTTTATCATCCTTATTAGAAATGTCTGTATACAGAAAGGAATATTGTCTCTGTCCTTGACAGCAAATGTTAGTTGTGCTGGAATTCCTGACTCTGAACTGATGAGAAGCTCCAAACTTTGGGATGGGGGTTGTTTTCCCTTCTTATGTTCTCTTTCCTGTCTCGCCATCCTCTCTCAATTCTATGAAAGCTGAGGTTGGGTGAATACCTACTAAGAGATTCTACAAACTACATTTCTTCTCTGAATTCATTCATTTAACTTTTTGTGATCTCTTCCTACATGCCAGGTGTTGAAAGAGACATATGGTGGCCAAGAAATAGGGTTAATATACAAAAGACAGTTGTATCTGGTTGGAAGAAAACACTTGATACTTCAGTCTCTCTGCTTTAGCTACAGAACTCCGTGTGTTATGCACTCTTAAACACTCCAGTGTGTTACCATCATGTTTCTTTCTGTGGTCTTTAATGTCAGTCTCTGAAAAGCTGTGGACCATAAACACTATGTGTATAGTATTATCATAGGGGCTAAAAGGGAACCAGGGAGGCAACGTTTGATGTAATAATGTTGACTTTTAAATTGGAAACAATTCCAGACTGATTTACTATTTCAAGAGATTAGGATTTATCAGAAAGTACCCTAGGAGAATATAATGCCTTTAAATGTGAAGGGATGTTATTTATTGATTCCCTTCGAAGGTCATGGCACCTACGACATATATGGTAGAATAAGGTTACTGTGTGTGTGTGTGTTTTTTTTTTTTATGAAATTATAATTTATAAGTCCCAAGACCCTAGGTTTCCAAGTTCAGCATTTGTAGAATGACCGTATTTCTCGGCGAATTCTCCTTCTGCTTGGAGAAATCAGATAGGGCTAGGAGAAAGCTGAGGTGCCAAGAACAAGGCGTGCAGATTTGGAGGGGATGCTGGGACCTCAGTACACTTGGCCTGTCAAGTAAGGCCAGCTGTTCATTTGTTTCATGTTCAGGTTTGGAATTCACCCAGTTGCAGGCCGAATGCCTGGTCAGCTCAACGTGCTTCTGGCTGAGGCAGGAGTGCCCTATGATATTGTGCTAGAAATGGACGAGATCAACCATGATTTCCCAGGTAAGCAGTGGAGAGGACGGCACACTTCAAACACCTTTTAAATACGCAGGAAGCGGTGCTACACCCACAATATGATTGTGGGATTAGCGGAGACTGACAAGTTAAAGAACGATGTGAGTATAACAGCTACAAGGCCACGGTTAGACAAGCGAAGGATATTATCCAGTGAGTTGTGTCAGATTTATCAGAAGTGTAGCTAAATTTTATTCTTTTGCAAGAACTGAAGGATGCTGAAAATCCTGGGGCAGAGTGAACCTGGAACCTGGACAGAGTTGGCGTTTGAATCTAGCTCTCTGCTCTCTCAGTAGCTTGTAGCCTTGAACTCCATACACATCACAGACTCCTCATGGTACTGCTTTCCCGTAGTCTTGAAGAGTGAAGTAGCTCATGTGTTCTCCTTCTCTCCCCCTCCCTCCTCCTTCCTTCTCCCTTCCTCCCTCCCCTCTTCATTTATAAGTACTGGGGCTTCATAAGATAAGGTGCTGTACTTTATAGCTGTCATTGTGTAGATGTGGAATGGTAATGATGTTTGGCCCAAGATCATGTTTGTTAAAATTAGACCAGTTCCTTCTGGCAAGTATCCACTGTAAACTGGAAAAAAAAAAAAAAAAAAAAAAAAAAAAAAAAAAAGAAAAGGAAAAAAAAAACCCAAAACAAAACAAAAAATAAAAAACAAAAACCTCACTGTTTACTAGAGGGGGGGGAAAATAACAAAACTGTGTGTATGTCTAGATGCACATGGCATTTCTGGCAGCATCCTTAGGTAATTTAAGTTATAAGTCCTTAAAGAGAGAATTTAGGCCATTTTAATTTTATGTTCCTTTTTAAATTTAACTGTTGTTAAATTATGTGTAAAACCAGCTAGTTCCAGGAATTATGGACACAGCTTTAATACAGTACAGACTTTTAGATACTGTTTTTTTTTTTTTTTTGACATCAGATTGCATCTTAATTGGTCATTTTAAGAGTTGAAAATGGATTCAGATCTTATAAAATCATGTGAATAGCAAGATAATTTGGGGACAATAAAGGAATTATAAAGATAGATTAGGTAGGTCTGATGGGAGGGTTAGCATAAAGCTTGCTTTAGAGGACGTGAAAGCTCTGTGCAGGTCCTACTGCTGGTGACATTCTGGCTTGGTGACATTTTCTGGTAAAGCTGTATGTCATTCCTGGCACAAGTAAGTCTAAGTATTTATTTTTGCTTTTGTTAATAAATCACTGTAGTTTGCCTAAGAAGAAGCGTAAGTGTCCCGTTGTGTTTTACATTTTCTGTCTCTCTTCTCTGTTTCCAAATGTAGACACGGACTTGGTTCTTGTCATTGGTGCTAATGACACTGTGAATTCAGCAGCTCAAGAAGATCCCAACTCTATTATTGCAGGCATGCCAGTCCTTGAGGTCTGGAAGTCTAAACAGGTACATTTTTCAGACTTACCATTCATTCTCAACGATCAAGCATTATTTGAAATGCACACACGCAAAACTTTCTTTGGTCACTTAATGAGAATTGGTGATGCCTTTTAGGAGATTCAGGGGCACAAGCATAGCTGAGAGCCAGGCCCCCATGTCCAGCTTCCTTCTGCCCTCTGGCCACGGTAGAACCTGAGTGAATGCTGTGTTGTGAGTAGAACCAGATGAGATTATGTGGCTGGATTAACAAAATCTGCTGCCACATCTGAGAAGGAAGGGGTGTGCTGTAAGCAGTCGGAATGTGTCTGGCCAAATTCCAGATTGAGTCCAATGAAGCAGATGGCTTTCCTCTCATCACCTTCATATACCAAGACGAGCACGTTTTCTTTCAGATTTATTTATTTTTTTATGGGGTATTTGTATGCTGTTATGGACTGTCCGACAGAGAGGTGATTTTAAAAATCCAAAGAATAACATGGCACAAGAAAGGACACTTTGCTCATGCACATGGCTCCTGCACAAAGCTAGCTGCTAGGTATGCTCTTCTGATCCAACAGAGGGACATTTCTTCATTGCGCCAGAGCCATGCTTTTATTTTAAGAATTGTAGCAGTGCCGTGGCCAGAAGGATGCTTAGCTGTTAAAGAGTACGTGCTACTCTCACAGAGGACCAGAGTTTGGTTCCTAGCACCCACGATGGGAGGCTCACTATTCCCGGTGACTCCAGCAGCTAGTGGTCCAACACCTTCCAGACTCTAAAGTTTGTATTTGCACACCCTACCACATAAACCCACAATTAAACTGGAATAGAACGTCAAGTAAAAGGGAACCATAGTAATATAATGTACATTCCCCATTAATTTTGTTTCTTTTGCTGCAAATACTTGAGTTCAAAATGTACCGTTTGAGATGAGTGAGTAGATCCAAAATGTCCTTGCTCTTGTCATAACCAGTAGTCAGCACGTGAAAGACTCAAGAGTTACATTATCGCACTGACGTATAATTGAACACATTTTTCATTTCTTCCATTTTTGAGTAGATCGCATGTTCCAGAAGGCCATGCAGAGGCTTTTAATCTCTCGAGAACCACCTTGACGTTGTCAGGATAGGAAAATCTGTAATAAAATGTCAGTATGAATATCTATGTTACGTCAGTGTTTCTCAGTCACCCAACCTCCATCACTGTGCTTGGTTGACATATTCTATTCTATTAGCCCCATCCTCGAGAGAAACGACTTTGTTTTTTGACGTGTCTTTGTCCTTGAACTTTCTGATTTGGTTTATGCTGAAGTGACAGACAAGAATCAGACCATTTCCCCCACTCAGTTACACGTATGTTAGAATTTGCATGTGGATGCTTGTGCACTAAGTTTGTTTTCTCTAGCTTATTCCTAGAAAGATGGATGACCTCACAGTGTTATTTTTTTTCTGGTTAGAAAATGTTATTCATGGACTTTGTAGAGAAAAGCACAAGGATGGAAAAAAAAATCACTAATCTTACCACTTAAAGATAAACTTTTAACAAGAACTTCCCTCTAACCGACATAAGAGTATGATTAAAAATGAGCATTTATGTAATGTGAACATACATTTAAGAATAATCTGTACCGGACAATTAGTGGTGGGACAGGTCTTTTTCACGCTCAGGGAAGAAATCCTGTGTGTTATTTGCACAACTGGGTTCTATGAGCAATGTTTTGTATATTTCACAAAGCTGGAATCGAGTAGTTTGACTGCTCCCACTATAAATACATGATAAACATCCAAGGAGATGGACATGTTTACCTGATTTAGGTACTGAGTGATACCCACATGTATTGAGATACTGCCTGTACCCTATAACTGTGCCTTTATATTTTCATATATGCCATAAAACTAAATAAAAGTAAAGAAGTAATGCACGATTAAAACAACAACAAAATCAGGAACAGACAATACTTTGCACCTACCAGGTCCTGTTGAGGAGAATCTCTTCTCTCTTTGATTCTTAGGTCATTGTCATGAAGAGGTCCCTCGGTGTTGGCTATGCCGCAGTGGACAATCCCATCTTCTACAAACCCAACACGGCCATGCTTCTGGGGGATGCTAAGAAGACATGTGATGCTCTGCAGGCCAAAGTTCGAGACTCCTATCAGAAATGAATGCTAAAGGTCAAGCTGGTGTCTTCAGCTACATGAGCAGAGAAATAAAGCATGAATAAATGAGCAAAGCCCTCAAGACCCGCAAACCAACAGACATCGTGAATATCTGCAGCCCCTGATCCTCAAAAAGCATTGAAAAGTCTCAGCATCTACCTGTTTATAGTTTTCATTGGTAAAAGGCCAACATGTTTTGTAAACAGCGAAAGAACACCTTCATTTTAGATGCAACCTTATTGGATTTTTACATTCTCTTTTAGTAGCTAGAAATGAGTTCAGAAGTTGATGTACTTTGGTCTGAAAAAGTGTTATTTTCTCTTTTTTTCACCAAATGTGACTAATTTGAAACTTTGATCAACTCTGAACAATCATGCCAAATCTGTCTCAGGTTATCAGGCTATACTTTAGATTCTAGAGTCCAAAGATCTATTTTCCCACTTCTATTTTAATATGCAAAAGGACTATATAGCCTATCAGAGCTGCTGGAAGCAGTCTGCTTGATATGTTCAATAAAACATAACTTAAAAGTAATTATCTGTATTTTTAAAAACCCCATTGCCAACTGGAGGTTACTCCAGTTTCAATTTATAATGTGTGATACCGTATTAACTGCTCTTGAATGGAATGCAGCCATTTGACTAATAAATGAGTTCATCATGTTTTCAAAGTGATTTAGACTTGTCTCTGATGACGAAGAGCTGGATTCGAAAGGTTCTACTCATTATTAATACTGGAGGAAGACCTAACAGGCAGAATCAATCTCTCCTCATTGTTTAGAAGGCCAACTTGTTTTTCAAAACCTTAGTGACTTTTGAGGTCATATATAATTTGATGATACTCCAAAGCGGTTAACAGTATTTTTAGCCATATCTTTAAGAACCAGTTTAAAAAAAAAAAAAGTCTAGAAGTGATGGGAGATGTCATTCTGTATATGTTTCTCATACTGGTTAATAATAAAGCACTGTTGGCCAATAGGAAAGGAAGATAGGAGGGACTAGGAGACAAGGAGGAAGAGGAAATAGGAAGGAGGAGTGAAGATGGAGAGTCTGGAGAAAGCAGTATGCTGCCGGCTCCCCGGTAAGAGAAATACATAGATCAGCAGAAATGGGTTAATAATTAAGACAGAACTAGCCAATAAGAAACAAGTAACCAGGCCAACAATATTGTATCGAATACAGAGTCTCTATGTAGTATTTGGGGCTGGTGGCATGGCGGCGGGACAAGACCAACGGCGGCAGGCGGAAAAACCATATTCCTTACAAATGGCGCCCACGTGGCTAATAAGAACTTCCACTTAAAATTTAACAAAAGGTTAAAAAAGGGTTTTAAAAACAAAAAAACAGAGATAAGCAAGGTTTCTTGGTAACAACATTTTTCTCGGTTAGATTCTGTTTTCTGTGAGACAAGCAAAAATTTCTGCGGCTCCTTTAAGGGAAGATTCCTTACTTTGAATAAGCGGGGGGGGGAAAAAAACACACAGCTTTTAAATAACTCTGCTAACAATTTATTGGTATATATGAGAGATGGCAATGGCAGTGACCACATCTCCAAGCCGACAACATACAGATCAAGACAATGAACACAGCTTTCAATGCTGGCGGTAAAAGTACCTGCCACCATCTTTGGTAAACCGCGGCAAAAACAAAGACTTTCATTTTAACAATGTTGTTGTTTAACAAATAAAGACTCATGGCCAGACAAAGATAAAGATTTACAATAAAGACAGATTCATATTAAGAAAAACCTCTAAAGGTTTACAATATGTTTTAAAATATACGTAGACATAAAAAAAATGGTTTTAAAGAGACAAAGAGAAACTGGGTGTTGTAGCACACGCCTTTAATCCCAACACTCAGGAGACAGAGGCAAACAGATCTCTATGATTTACAAAGTAAACCTGGTATACAAAACAAATTCCAGGACAGATAAGAGTTACACAATAAAACCCTATGTCAAAAAATAAAAAATAAAAATAAAATAAACAAAATAATAATAAAGCCAAATAAAGATAAAAAACTCAGAGAAAATCTGGTTACTGTATGCTATAGTGTTGTCTCTGCATTGTTTGACTACTGAGAAAATAAGAACAACTGATAAAGAAAATGCTGCTGCATTAATTCAATTTATATATTTCAAAAATGCTTTAACTCTAACATTTAAGTTCAAGGACAAGTTACTGGGGAAAAGGATTTCTATTTTTGTTTCCACAGAAAATGAAAAGCTGTGGATTCCTTCCAGACTAATATGGTTTGATCAAGCCAGGCCCCCTGAAACAGTCGCTGATGATCCAACATTCAAAACAGCTTGGACAAGGCAGCCTCAAAGACTACAGCCAAGATTTCTGCAACTTCTTAGGATCCCCATGACAGCGCCCCCTATCAACAAGAAATAGTTTAGAAAAAACGACGCCCAAATTCCCAAATATTGTTTATAAATGTTGGTTTTCATTTAAATGGACAAATATTGTTTATAAATGTTGGTTTTCATTTAAATAGACTTGGTTATAAATGGTTAATGATCACAACCAATATCTTTTTAAAGGTAAAAAGGGAATTATGATATAGATATGAATACTTTGTTTTGGAATGGATTTTCATTTACTGATACAAATTTAAGTTCAATTTTGTCATATGTATATTTCTCCTCTTGTTTAGGTATTGTGTTTATATAGCTCAGTTAGAAATGTAATGTATAATTTTGTGCAGATTATTTATAGTTACCTATAATAGTCAAAACTTATAGTTTAGTTAGGTTTTCTAGATATATAGAGATGTATTTGAGATGGATAGGCATTCTTCAAACCTTTCAAAGACCTACAGAATATGGCATTTAAAATGGTTTAGGGTTTTACTTGACAGTGAGACATAATTGCTCCTGGCAACGCCACCTGGGTCTAAAAGGAAGATGGACATAAAAGAAACACGTTATGGAGTTTGCTTCCAGTATGGCAAGACTAGCCATTTGGACAAGATACAGCTCTTGTCTGGACTGTTTGACTTTATGCTGTATATACTGGACATGCAGGACCCACAGAAAAGTGACTACTGATTCAAGATGGACATTGCTACAGAGTTCCTGCTTCATGGAAGAGTCTGCGAGACAGTATGCAGGACACAGAGAAAAATGACTGACAAACTGCCAATACAAAAAGACAGTTTAAAGTTTCCTGTGTTGCTGAAGAGTCTGCCAGACACACTATGGCCTATGGGCTAAAGATGAAAGATTACAAAAGAACTTCGGGTGACCAGGCAGTGAGTTGTCCCTATCATTTCTAGAGTTTATACTATCCTTCTATGGTCTTTGAGAGACTTAAAGACAGAGAGTTATGGTTACAGTTTTCCTTAATATTAAAGATAAGTTACTTAGACTTTAGACACACAAAGATATGATAGATGATGAAATATTTTCTTCAAATCTTGCTAAATGTTAATGGACTAAATAATGTTAACTGTGATTCTTATTTGATAACTGTTATGTGATATATTTTGCTATGTTAAGGTTAAAACCCTTCTTTTTATTTAGACAAAAAAGAAGAGATGATGGGAGATGTCATTCTGTATATGTTTCTCATACTGGTTAATAATAAAGCACTGTTGGCCAATAGGAAAGGAAGATAGGAGGGACTAGGAGACAAGGAGGAAGAGGAAATAGGAAGGAGGAGTGAAGATGGAGAGTCTGGAGAAAGCAGTATGCCGCCGGCTCCCCGGTAAGAGAAATATATAGATCAGCAGAAATGGGTTAATAATTAAGACAGAGCTAGCCGATAAGAAACAAATAACAGGGCCAACAGCATTGTATCAAATACAGAGTCTCTATGTGTTATTTGGGGCTGGCGCGGCGGCAGGACAAGACCTGATGACGAAGAGCTGGATTCGAAAGGTTCTACTCATTATTAATACTGGAGGAAGACCTAACAGGCAGAATCAATCTCTCCTCATTGTTTAGAAGGCCAACTTGTTTTTCAAAACCTTAGTGACTTTTGAGGTCATATATAATTTGATGATACTCCAAAGCGGTTAACAGTATTTTTAGCCATATCTTTAAGAACCAGTTTAAAAAAAAAAAAAGTCTAGAAGTCTAGATTTTCTTTGTGATTTTACCTTTATTTAAAAAACTCTTTAAGTGGAGACTATTGCGGTAAATAAGGATCAGGATAAACAAATAGGCCGAATAGATGTTTATTCAGGGAGAAATAACTTACAACCTAGACAGATGAACACCAGGAAATTCAACCCGATCCTCTCCTGTCCGAGTCACGCCAGAAAGAGAGCGCCTTCCTGGCCCCCTCCGACCTCCTTCCTCAGGTCACCTCCGCCCATCACTCCACCCCCCAATGGGCGTGGTCAGTGCTACAGAAGGACTACCTCACTACAGGAGACAAATGTGGTACATTATTATAATTGTCTCTCTGAGCCCTCCATTTGGTAACAAGTCTCTCAAAGCAGTTTTTAACCCATAGGAGACCTGGGGATATGGCTCAGTTGGTAGAGCATTTGCTTCGTGTGTGAGGCCCTCAGCTCAATCCCTAGTATTGAAAAAAAAACAAAACAAACCAAAAATTATCAACTCATACAAAACTATCTCTAAATCTGAAGATTACCGATGCAAAATTTGCTCATCTTTACTATGCTTATCAAGTACTAGATCTGTTGATTTGATGAGCAAGGTGTTTTGCTGTGCCTGAGATGACGGATGAGTGGAGGATGGGGAGGCGGTGGGGAGAAAGGAGAGGGGGGGGTTTGTTAGAGCAGCAAAGATCCTTTTAAATGTCAAAGAAATAAATGCAACTTACTACCAGATCTGAGATCACTAGTAACTTCAGGGTTGGGCTTTATAATAAAAGGTCTATCAGAAGAAATTAAACAATTATCTTTATTCATGCCCCCTTCTTCTTTTGAGGTAGCCATAGGTGTTTCTAGAGAGTAGCAAGTTAATTTTTGAAAAGTAATTCCCAAATCCAATTTAAATCTAAAAATAACTGAGGGTGGATTTTGCTCCTTTCCCCAAGGTGCCTTTTGATGGTATATATCTAGAGACAGTTTTGGTTATCAGAACTGGCCGGTGCTACTGCCATCCAATGGGTAAAAGGTCAGGGATGCTGCGGAATGATCATCCTAAATGCACAGGACCCTTTTCCTGCACTGTGTACTGCACAGTATGATCTTCCCAAATGTCTATGGTGCCAAGAACGAGGAACCTTGGTCTTCTATACTCTGATGTCTTTCTTGGTGGGTTAAATACTGCTTACAATATCTAAAGCATAGCAATTTTAGTTTATGGCACATAGTACTTATATGGAAAAAAGGGGGTATTTGCCTAACTGAAGGCTGAGGCTTTTGTTTCTCTAAAACAAAGAACTGTAATCCATCAGCGATCACTAGGTTTTCACCCGAATCCATCAGTGGTTAGGGGATGTCTGTTTTTGCTGAGGAACTATTCGAGACACACTAAGGGCTTCACACACACACACACACACACACACACACACACACACTATATGTATAATACATATATACATACATATATATACTGTATAATGCTATATATGACTCCTTCAGAGATCCATGAATCAGGAAAGTGGGACTGAGTCATGAAACACACACCCAGAGCAATCTCTGTGTTATCGCTGGCTGTTGATTTCTGAAGGGAGGGAAGAACCACCGGGAAGAAG